GGATTCAGATCACTTGGATTCAAGTTCTGGCTGTTACCTACCACTGTGTCACTAAGTCACTTCAACCCATTTGTGTCTTAGTTCTCTCATTTGCTCACTGGGAATTACAATAGTACATACGCCATAGAGTTGTTGGAAGAATTAAATGAGTTAATATGGGTAAAATGCTTAAGCAAGGACCAGACACATAGTAAGTATTCAGTAACATTAGCTACTTTTCTTATGATTATTATGATGACATTCAAGCAGTTATTAAGTTTTGCCCATTTTACTTAGTAATTAGTTCCCAAGTTAATCACCTTTTCTTTGAAACTTCTTCCCTGGCCTTCAGCTCTGTACCACCTTTAGAAGAACACTTCCTTACTTCCTCTAGGCTTGCTCCCTCACAGCTAGCCTCCAGCGCTTCTAGGGGCCACACAGGTAATGTAAACATACCCAGGAAAAAAGCCACCTCCAGGACCAAGTTAAATGGCATACAAGGCCCTCCAAAATCGGTCTCTCAAAACCCCACACCCACACATCAAAGTGACAAACTTTCCCCCACAGACCATGCAGTTGCTCATGCCACCCTGGGAAGAAATGCCCCCTTTCCCTCCCTATTTTCTGCCCTCTCAAGAATCCTCCCAGGTTCAGGGGAGGCACCTCCCCCACAAGCCTCCCCAATCCTTTTGATCGGTGGCCGGTGGCTGTCTGTACCTGTAAGAGTCACCTGTGCGGGTCTCCAACACTGACTGGAGACACAGATTATAAAACACGTCTCTGTTATTGAAATATGAGTCCCTAGGACAGCTAGTCCACTGTGCTCAATGAAGTGCTGACTGGTCAAGCGACTAAAGCATTTTCTCAGCCCCTCACATAGAGAAATGCATGCAGGCTTCCAGACAACGTAGGCCTTTGTTTAGCATGTCACTTGACAAAAACGAGAGGTTGTCTAGGGAAATGGAAATCTTAACAGGGCACTAGCTATTTTGTACAACTGTTGCCAGCCCTAGTGAGAGACATTACAGGGTCATGCTTCTTTCCATCAGAAGACATTTATACTTTCCACCACTGTCAGTTCATCAAAACTTACAGAGATTCCTGGTAATGTTCATCTTTCCAGTGGAATTTTTCCTCCCAGAAGGGAGGAAAATATAAGCACCTGATACCTGGGATCCACCCCAGCCATTCTGATTTAAGAGGCCTAGGGTAGGAACCAAGGAGAAAATTTTTTAAAAGTTCCCCCGAAAATTCTAAAGAGCAGCAGGGGTCAAGATCCATTCCTATGAAATCTAAAATTTGCTCCTTTCTCAGTGTTCTCATCTATAAAATGGTGACACTTATCCTTAGATTTATGGTTAACTGAAACTCTTTCTGAAGGTACAAATCATAAATACATTTTAAATAGAATCCTTCTTCCTAATCACAACCCCTTGATTATAAAAGTAAAGTTTGATTATTAAAATCACCTTGTCCATAAGCATTAATATCCATATTAGAAATGGACAGGTACAATCCATTAAAGGACAGTTAAAACAAAACAACAAAATCAGATCTCAAAACCACAGTCTTAACCTACAATTAAGGGCATACTAAAATAAAGTGTGAGTATAAAAGATAATCGAAAGCACTAATATTTCGGTAAGACTAAGGTTGGGTGTGCTGTGAATATGTCCCTATTTCTGGACATGGCATGTTTTGCTCTAATCATGAAAATAAAAGAGATCTCAGCAAAGTATTGAGGAGGTACTGTTTTTGTGCCTGAATCATAATAGGTCCTGAGAGGGGGAGAGAGATCTTGAGATAACTGTAGGCATTAAACTCAATCTTAAGTATGATATAAAATCTTCTTAAAATGAAAAAAGTTAAAACAATTATTCTGTAAACATCCATTTTTCTTCTCCAGAAATGTCCTATTGACTAAATTTTTTTTTCCCCAAGAAACACTCTTTGATGCTGAGGGTATCAGAACATGCTACCCCCAAATATGCCACTTTGGCATAAGAAAAGTTTTCAGCTGAAGGCATTTGAGTTCCCGAAATCCCTTATCTGTCTAAAGCAGAACCTCCCCAAAGAATTCAATAGTCATAATCCCCTCCCTGGGCAACTCTCATCTCTTCTGGCACCACACCCAGACTTGTCACAAACTATCATATCTCTTGTTTATTTCCAAAAGGCCTATTTATTTTCCAAAAGTCATTTACTTTTCCACAAGGGCCTTTCTCCCTCTCCCTTCCCCACTAAGTGAGGTACCTTGACCCACACCTGCCCTTCTTAGATACTCATCACTGGATCCTCTCACTACAGTGCAGGATGCAGATGTCAATAAACTTGTTTTTTCCTTGTTCACCTGTCTTTTGTCAGGGCCTGGCCAGAGAACCTAAAGGTAGGCAGAAAATATTTTTTTCCTCCCTACAGTTGATATCTGATTCTACATATATCTCTCAGCTTTAAAAAGCTGTCATTAAAAAAAAAAAAAAATCCTATTAAAAAACATAAGCACCGGAAAGAGTAAAAGTTTAACAATCCTTTGAGACTATGGTTCTAGTTTCTTTAACCTTTCAAAATAAACATTAAGAAAATATATAAAAACTATACCAAAGTGCTTAGTGTTTTAGGCAAAACTGCTATGAAGACTTTAACAAAACATTTACACCAAGTACATGCAGTTACAGAGTAAAATCAGTCTTCACACCATAAAAATTCTTACCAAATGTTTTTCATAAATATATTTTAACCCATTTTACCAATATTATTTCATATTTTATCGTTATTTCATTATTTATCTTTAGTGAAAGATTAATCTGAAAGCGTGAAATTGTATGGTGGCAAAACAACTTCAAATAGAATTTTCCTACTTGAAAACCTACCACAGCTATACATTATAATGGGGAAGACTAGAAATAATGCCTTATTGCTATTAATAATGGCAGATTACATAAAATAAAGGTGCTGTAATTCTAAACACAGGACTACTGGAAATTAATAATGCATGTAACATAGAACTTGAGTATATAAAGCCATGTCAGCAAACACTGGCAGTATCTACTCAATTAGAAGACAGTTAGCTTTAGAAGGCTCAGGGATGCAGCACTTCTGCCATATGAAAAAAAAGCACATAAAAGACACAAAACAAAATATATGTATTACTTTTAGCATGTTAAAAACAATCACATCAAAAAAAGTATACAGATAAAAAATGTCATAGATGACATAAGAAAATAGTGTGTGTGTATACATATTTTGCATACATACATATATATATAAATCTACAGTATTTACCACTGTTGATATATAGATTTTGGAGCAGCTCAGATGCTGCTATCATGAACTAAATTGTACAGCTTGATTTATTACAAGTCACAGAATCATGATTTAAAAATTAGAATTAATGTCCTCAGCTACATTTTTACATACATTTATGTCCAAGCTTCACATGATCTGAATCAAGAGCCCAGTGACGTCAGGATTTTGTCTGAGCTTCCGTGTAGTGCTCACCTGCTAATACACTGCATTTGTTTTGTCATTTAATAACATCATTACCAAGATGATTAAGATTACATTAGACTCATTATATACATAAAAATTGTCACATTCACTAGCTAAACAAATGTTACTTTCATTTTAAAAGACATACTTCTGTACCTTGAAAGCTTAAAGCCACAACTTACAATGAGAAGAACCCTCAACGTTAGGTTTTCCACTCTATTGTTCAAATGTGAACAAATAATGTTGAAAACAAGCTCTCCAATTAAACACAAAGTCATATTTTCTTGGCATTGTCCAAACTTTGTCAGTGTTTTGGTAACTGTAGTGTAAATAGAATATTGTAAAAGACATTGCTAATTTTTTTAACATGGACCTGAATTTTTGTCCCTGAAAAAGAAAAGTATTTTTGAAATTATGGAAGTCACACTATTAAAAAATAAAAGGCCATAATTCAGATCATTTTTACAATTTTACATGCTGATAATTTAATGGCCTAAGCGGCGGCAATATCCATTAACTATATTCTTGAAAGAAAAGAGTGCCAGGAAAAAGATCATGTAAAGGACCACCCAGCCCTTTGTAGTGAGGCCCTGCAGAAAATGAAAGTCAGAAGAAGCAACCATATTGCTAATCCTGCTTTCAAAGGAATTTCCGGGAGTGCGCTCTGCTGCCCCATGGGAACTTGCTGCCTCTCCCACGGGCACCCACGGGACAGCTGCAGCCTGGGCCACCGCATTCCCTTCACATCTGGCAGGAGCATTCTGCTCTGAGCTTTGTGAGCAGGCCAGAGCAAGGGCGCAGAGGCAGGAACAGATCTCGGTGCCCACGGATACACTGAGCCTGCACATCTGGGCACATGGATACTTACACCTGTGGCCTTCAACTTACTTTCACTGCCACAATTTTTAAGCACCATTAAGTGGTTAGACTTTCCCTCTAATGTCTTTAATTTTCAGATTGAAAGAAAACGGCAGCAGAAAATGAGTATTCTGTGAGATCTGAATTAATCACCTAAGGGCAAACCCTTATGTCAATTTAGGATCTGGGTTAAAAAATATGAGGGGGTGGGGGGACTTGACTAAAAGACCAGTTAAAGAAAAAAAGGAGGATAAATTATTTCATGGATCTATATTAAAGCAGGTTTTTTAATGTTTCATTAGTTCTGTGTTGAAGTGTGTATGTGTAGATGTCTATATCTATTTAAAGACACATACTCTACATAGAGCCTTAAAAATGTCTACTATTCATAGACAGTTTTTCAGTGCTTTGTAACATTACTCAAAGTAAAATGGGCTAATAGAGTAAAGTGTTAGGTGTTGAGAAGTTATAAATGGAACTGAGTAATTAATTTATTTTGTGTGCATCCCTAAATGCTATTGCTATGTTTCCACGGTAAATTAATAGATTCAGTGATGATGCAATTACAATGCTCATCTTCAGCAGCATCTACATGGGGATGAAAACACTCCCATCTATTCTTATTACTAACATGAGAATTGTGCAAGATGTTTACAACGGTACAAAATACTGCTTTGGCAATTACAAACATAGCAATGTAGATTCTGCGAGATTTCCACTCTCGTCTCCAGCAAGTATAGATGAATTCTCACAGCAATACCGACTCTTGAATAGAAAGTCCATCTCGCTTTCTGTAGTGATAGACTGGAGCCGAGGACCCTGAATACTGATACCCAGAGGAGCTGGCATCTTCTAAAGCTGGGGAAGTTCTATACCGCACTGGACCATCCACAGAAACTGGGGGGAGACCATGGTCCTGAAAGGATACATGTTGAAAGGCAGAATATTTTGTTAAATTGCTTAAGTGGCTACGGTTAGCATCCCGAGTCCATGCCTGTTCAGGCATCTCAGGTCTGTATGTGTAACTGACTTCTGACCATTTTCTGTTATCTGGCAAATAATCCACTGGAGGAATGAGGAATTTTCCATTCTTTGGTGACCCTGAATTGCCCGAATATCCCCCAGCACCAATATCAATGGGAAGAACTTCTATGCGACTAGATGGTAAGACAACAGGAGCTGGACGGCTGTGAGATTTCTCTGGAGAAACATTGATGGAAAGAGCGGAACCATGAGGTCTCCTGGGAGGATTCATTTGAGCTCCATGGCTAAACTGTGGTGACACAAAGCTGCTGTTAGTGGTGGGGATGTGCTTTGGAGAATTTCCGTGGTAAATAGGGGGATTGCTGTAAGATGGGGGGTGCACGGGCCCTCGATCTTCCCCATCTAGGTGAGCTGGATATTTTGCATAACTTGGAGGCTGCATTTTAAAAGTAAACTTGTTTGATACTTTTGATGGACTAGAACTTGGCTCAGGATGCTTCCTTGGACTGTGCGTGTAAACAATATTCCTCGGACTCTGAGAGTAAGCCCTTTCTAGTGCCTCTACAACAGACGGGCCATTTTCATTTTCAGGTACATTATCATACTGTGATGCATTCGAGCCCCGTTTCCCTTCATCGGCATCCCAGACCTTCATCTTCTGCCTTGCATTTGTCACCCGAGGATCTGCAGAATTCGGGATGGTGACGGTAAGCGTGGGGTGTGCAAATCGACTCTTGCCTTCAGTGGCATATCTGGCAGTTCTTTCAATAGCTGAAACATCTGATGGTTTATTCCATTTGGGCACAAATTCCTTCCTGATATTTGAAAGAGCATTGCTATTTTGGTTAGCAGATGCATGGTCATATTGCCTAGTATTGTCTTGTGGACCTGATGAAGGTTTTCTTTGAAAGTCTGCTTCATCTTTAAGCTTTTTACTGTCCTCCTCCACTGATGCCCGTCTTGGCTGCCTCGCTCTTTCTGGTGTACCAATTCTGCCTTGAGGGTGAGGGGAATGCTCGGGCTTTCTGTGAGGCGATGAGCCACTCTCTCTTCTGATCTTATGGGGACTTGATCTGCCAACACTTTGTCCATTGCTCAGGTGACTAATGCCAGCAGACGGAGGTTCAGGTGGAAGCTGTCCCAAAGGCTTCTTTGGAAACTCATCCTCCTTACCTAAAGGAAAGATATATTTATGAGTAACAACAAATGAGTAAACGGTACCAAATATAAGAACCATGCTATGAATAACTGTATACTTTTCATATGTGTACTCATACACATGCACACAGAATTATAGTTACAAGAGAAGCACTTTTTAGAGAGACTGACTGTAAAACACACCAAAATTCAAAATCTTATTAGGCAATGTGCAGGTGGTGAGAATATTTTATAACCTTATGTGTAACACATGATTCTTATATTTTGTTAAGACATACTGTTACATGCTTTTTCCCCCCCAAAATGCAAGGCTGATAGTCTCATTTCTTTTCCTAAAACAATCCTGCTGTTCAATGTCTTACCATCACCTTCACTTTAACTTAATTCAACTTAACATGGCTTTGAAATCTCAGTAAAACTTTTCTTATCAACTTCAAGCAGATCTGCCAAATTTAAAAGCCAACTGTGATCTAAAGTTGTCCCCACATAGTTTATTATTAAGCACCTTTCACCATATTACTGCAAAAAAGAAACAGTACTCTCTATTTTAAAGCCAATATTCTAAGAGGATCCTACTTTAGAAAAAAAAAGAAAGAAAGAAAAAACAAGGAAATCACATTGGGCACTTTCAGTTTTATATTTTACTAGAGGCCTGATGCATGAAATTCGTGCACTGGGGAGGGGGAAGGGGGGTCCCTCAGCCTGGCCTATACCCTCTTGCAGTCCAGGAGTAAGCTGGCAGTCAGACATCCTTAGCTCCCACCACCTCCACTGTGCTCACCAGCCCTGAGCCCAGCTCAGGGCTTCTGACTGAGCAGCACTCCCCCTGGGGAGTGCACTGCCCACTAGGGGGCAGCTCCTACATTGAGTGTCTGCCCCCTGGTGGTCAGAGCACATCACAATGACTGGTCGTTCTGTCATTCAGTCAATTTGCATATTACCCTTTTATTATATAGGACTTTATTTTGGAGACAATATTCTTAACCCAGCCTATTTCTGGTTTCTCTCAGTGCCCTCCTTCCTCAAAGCTGCAGTCTTCTGTGTTGTTGATGACAGTGATGCCAGAAATTCTCCATCAACTTGAGTTTCAGGTTGAAGTTTATGTAGGAACTTCTCAAAGTCATCTGCAACTTTGTAAGGTTTCTTGGTAGCCTTTGTTGGAATCTAGCAAGCTCTTTGTCTATTCTTTCCTGCTGCTATCTTAGGAGTTGATTAATTCTGTGCTTATCCCAGTCCCGCTGTGACCTCTTCTGTAAATCCTTGGTTATAAGATCTCTCTTCAGCTAGTCTTCAGTTGGTTATTCAGGATGATTGTTCTATATCTCAGTTGTACTTCCAGTCTGGTCCTGGAAGGAGATGAGTGTAGCTTCCATCTACTACTCTGCCACCATCTTGGATTGAGAGTTTTATGTTTTAAATAACTAACATTAGAAATGAATGAGGAATTAAAGGAAGGTGCAATAAATTTGCCATTTAGCAGACACTGTGTAAACATGACCTATTACAATATCAACATTCAATAAATATCATCTTGAAAACAACTTGTAAAAATCCCATGATTTAAGATGTGTTTTCACTAATTATTACAAAATATATTCTCCCTTAAAAATAAGCTGCTGCTCACTTCAACTATCCATTTGTTGTCCATCCAACAAATATTTACTGAGTAAGCTCTGCTTTGGGACTGTGCTAAGCAATGAACACATTAGTAGTGAGTAGGCAGACTTGGTCTTTGTTTTCATGTAGTTCATTGTTGATGAGGACAATTTTGTTATTTACCCACATATCTTAATTTTCTTTAAGACATTTGAAAAAATAGTCAATGAGCTTTCCTTTGGGAGGGAAGGGTGCAGAGAATGTGAAGAAACAATATCCTTTAAATAGGTAAGCTGCCAGAATCAAATAAGCTAAAAATAACCTTTGTGCTCTTCTAATTTGGTGGTGTTTTTTTTGTTTGTTTGTTTTTTTTTAAGAAACAGACTTTTTTCCAAACCAAATTTCATATGAAACCCCAGTATATAAAGGAAACCTAAACAACGCTGCTCTAGCTGAAGTGGAGGGGGTCAGGTGCCTCCCCTCATCCTTTTTCCCACTTCCCTCAGCGGGGCAGCTTCTCAGAGATTTCCAACCCTGCCTGCATTTTATAGGCAGGAGAGCAGACTCAGAGAAGCCAAGTGATCTTCAGGGGCAGGAAGAGTATGAGAACCAGGACCCAGCATTTTCACTCCGGGTCAGTTTTCTTCCACTCTGCCATGTTCATTAAATTCCAGAGAAACTTTGGAATGGTTTTAACCAAATTTAATTTTACTTTGTCAATATTTGTGCAAGCTCTTTATTTTATACATGTGAAAGCACACAAAGTATTAGGATTGGGAATAGTTTGTTTCATTCATTCACCCATTCAACCAATAGCTATAGAGCAACTACTATGGACCAGGCACTCTTGTTGCTGGTGATGCACAAACAAAACAGGGTGAAGCCCGTCCTATGGAGCTGCTATGCTAGTTGTGCAGGGCTGTGAGAACAGCACCAGGACAAGGCAATCACAGTGATTTGGGTGTGGCAGGGCAGAGTCCCGGCAGGAACAAAGATGCCTGTGCCAGGTGGAGAATGGCTGGGGACAATGAAGAGTCACATCACACAGGGCTTTGAAGACCACAGTAAGAACTCTGGATTTTTTTTCTTTTTCTGAGTTTACTATAAACTACTGCAGGCTTTTC